AAATGATGTAATACTTTTCAAATAAGTTGTAATTTATCACAAATAATTTGTACAGCTTTATAACAGTCATGTTATAATTAGCTATTATTCACATGGATTGTACATGTCAATTGCGTCAAAATTACATGCCGTAATCTGGGCTATATGTTTTCAAAATTTGTACTGATGGTTGAATTCAGACCTTAGATTGTTTGGGACGGTTGCCTTTGTCGTGTGCAGGGCTATATGTTTTCAAATTTTGTACTGATGGCTAAATTCGGATCATAGATTATTTGAGACAGTTGCTCCTGCTCTTAGGTATCGAGTATCGATTTTTTGGGTTCCTTTTACCATGCTCTATTGAGTTATATGTTGATAACTCTTCATCAAGATCAAACCAAATGGATAACCTATTGATCGTGTAATCAGATTAACCATCAGATTGGATACCCTCAGATATCGAGTTTTACCCTACCAATTGATATCCCTAATCATTGATAGCCATATGCATGTATTGATGGGTTCCTTTAAATAGGATTATTTGTGTTCTAACAATGTGTTTATTACTTTTCCTTAGAAAATTAGTTGCATAAAATCATATTTAGTTTGTGTAAATGTACAGTGTTATTATGTAACTGTACATTAATAATTTACAAGTCACCAGCCATGTTTTAGGGAATGGTTAACAAATTTACATTTTAAACCTTATGGGAGCATTTAGATCTCCTCTCCTATTAGATAGTATTTTTTGTTTTATGACTTCTTGACTTCCTATTAGTTAAATATATAGAATTCTTGATAAATGAATACAAAGATTTCAATGAGAATTAAATAAATGTAGTTTTGTCTAGTAGGGCATTGAGAATATTATTGTTGACTACTATGGGAAATTGTTAGCCAACTCGAATCCGTCGGAGAAAGGCCTGCGACCGGTCCTAGAGAGAGTTAGGGCCAAAGTTTCTGCAGAAATGAATAGGCGGCTTCTTTAGACTTATTCAGCTAAAGGGGTAACCAAAGCTCTTTCCTAAATGCACCCGTATGAGTCTCCTGTGGTCCTGATAGTTTCAGCCCTATTTTCTTCCAAAAATATTGACATATTGTTGGTCATGATATTCCTTGTGCTGTCCTATCTTTTTTGAACAGACAGGATTTTAACAGCACTCACAATTATACACTCATATTGTCGTAATCCCTAAATGCCGAAAACCTCGGGAAATCACACAATTTCATCCCATCAATTCCTGTAAAGTGGTCTATAAATAATCATCAAAAGTTATTGTGGACAGAATTACACCACTTCTACCCAGCATTATCGCTAATCTCCAATCTGCTTTTATCCCAAGAAGAATCATTACTGACAATATTTTAGTCTCCTGTGAGCTCCACCAATACCATAGAACTAAAACTAGATATGAGGATAGCCTTTGACCATGAGTAAAGCCTTATAACTAAAACTTGGGGTGAGGAAGGCCTTATTTCTCTTAAGCTAGATAATGTTTACTCACCACCTGATTTTGTCAGACAAATAGGTCTGAACGATTTCCAGCAAATCTTATAAATAAAAAATTTTATGTTTTCATATCAAAATAAAGTTTTTTCAATGACATTCAATTATATTTGTGAGGACCGCGCAAACTTGGGGAAATTTTAATTAGTTTTTATACCATGAGATAATTTTGAACGTGGAGTTTAACGTTATACTTTATACTATGGGGTTTGCTTGAACTAAAGGGTTACCTTATATAGTCCTTTTGAAGTGAAGCAATGCGCATGACAAATAACAAAATTAAATTCATAAGTACAATGCTGTTGTACACTTTTACAATAGTTTCATTACAAGCATGCTAACCAAATTAGTGGTAATCGTACTTGTCCCAACTATTTGTGAGAATGAACTTAAAAAAAAAATTAACTCATATTGCAATACTCAAAATTAAATTATTCTTGTCCTAATTCATCATGTTAAACATAACTTCAAAGTTGCTGAACTGATTTCGTTGATAGGAGCATGATTATCTACCTGCAATATTAGCATAAACACAATCAGTGACTGTGATATAGATTCAGAAAAGCTAAATAAAAATATTAAAGCATCCTCCACATGTTTTAATTCAAAATTTCAATTGCTCCATATTAAACATTAATATGGCACCTCACATCTATCAAAGTCATTTATTGACTCAAATATAGACCACTGATGCTTCAAATTTTTCCAAGAAACAAAACTAGCCAAACTATTAACAGACCCCATAAAAGAATATGTGGCAAAAATATATAACAATGACTCATGACTACAAATTTCCAACAAAAGTAAGTACACATTCCAAGGTCATATTTAACAAGTTAGCCGCATTTTTAAATGGGCCACAGTAACTCTCACTAGCTTGTTCATTTTCCACAATAGACCCTTTTTTTCCCCACTCTAGGTCAAAGTTGAACACTTTTTTTCATCTGGAGTTACATACAATCTTGAATAGCATCCTTCCTCGATCCAAGATTCGTCATGCATGGATAATATTAGATAAAAAGGAAAATTATCCTTCTAAATTCACAAAGCTCTGCTATTGATTGAGGTGGTGGGTGGCTATAGCCGGTGAAGAGATCAAGAATAGCATGAAAGGCTATGTTTTTAAACTCGGACCGGATCAGCCAGTCTGATCGGTCGAACCGAAAATCGATTAAGTGTCTGATTCGAATTATCCTAAAAAATCGGATAGATAGAAAAGAACCGAAAGAACCGGTTGGTGTCAAAGTTTTTTCTTAAAAGGTCAAAGCATTTCCAATATTATGTTTTGACCCCTAGGTTGTTAAAAATTATTAATATATCTCAAATATTTCATACTTTATAAATGTTGTCCTCAAGTTTGGTGTTATTTTTCAATCAAGTCTATAATTTTAATTCTAAACTTGTTAATGTTCATTAAATAATATAAATTGCTACTTGATCATTCTAATTTCTTTGTATTTTCTTGTTAAATACATTTGAAACATCAAATATATATATAAATATACCTTTATTAATATTAACATGCTCTCTTAGGTATTTTACGTACAATATTTTAATTTTTAAATAATTTTTATTTATGACGTCATCTGGTTCAACTCCAATCGAACTCGTTGACTCCTGACCCCTAAGTTCGACCAAGTCGATACTTGATTCGAGTTTGAAAACATAGGTGAAAGGTAGAAAGCGACGTGTGCGGGCAAAATTCCGGTGGAGCCGAATTGCCAACCTACGGGCATAGTAAGAAGCAATACAGAATCGGAGCTCATCTCCGGAATGGTTTTGATGCTTAAGTTATTAACATATCTAGTCTATTGGGGAATGCCCTTGTTTTCAATTGGGCTTCAATTGCTGACATGGCTGGCTTCCATTGGTTGATTGGTGGTCGTTCGGCCCGTGGAAATTCTCAATTGATGGTCGTCCAGCTCGTTTGCCAATTGGACGTCTGCCTTTTTGTTTGCTTGGACGCCTATCAATTGCTTTTGTTTCTTTGTTCGTTGTTTGCTGGGGAGTGTTCCGATAAAATTTGGCCCCACGTTGCCGGCTAAATCGCAATTATTAATTGTTATCTTTTATTGTAATTATTGCTTTAACTGTATTGATTATTATTAGTTACTTACTAATTAGTTGTTAGTAACTAATTAATGATGTCATTTTTTTACCCAATAAATCACATTTAATTCATAACTTTTTTGCAATTATTAACAAAAAAATTTTTTTTTGGTTGTCCAAAAAAATCTCATTTGGTTACCTTTTTTCCCACATTCTTTTAAGAAAATGTCCTCTTTTTTTTTTGGGGTTGCCCAACAAATTAGGTTTACTCATCAACTTTTTTTCAATCCATTTTTTATTAATTAACTTCTGGTTTCACGTTTTTTAGTCAGACAAATCGCATTTAATTACCTACTTTATAATTATTATTATGTTTATTTACCTAACAAATCGCATTGAATTATCAGTTGTATGTAGTTATTAGCCAAAAATTAGTCTCTTTTTTTTGGTTGCCAATCAAATCATATTTGGTTGCCCTTTTTAACAATTAGAAATTGCTAATTAATTAATTAGTATTGTTACTTTTTTGTTGCATAGAGAATCGCAATTAATTACCAAATTGTTGCTGTTAATTGTTAATCAATTAATATGTCTACATTGCTCCGCTTGAGAAAAACGTTTCTCGTTAGTCTTTCCTTCTTTGCTTTTGGCCATCTTAATAATTAATTGATTCATAATTAACTAATCTTATAAATTAACATGCTTAATTACCAATTCTTTGACATTAATTATGGACAAATTTTATTTGTTTAGTTTAAATCCGTACTTTCTCGATTTCTTCATCCACCGTTTCGCATTACTTGTCATCAACCTCCCTTTGTTGATAGGTTATTGTACCTTGGCTGAATAATGCTGGTCTGATTTTTATTATGTTGCCCATCCGTTGTACAATTATCAGTAGCCGAATAAATCACGGCTATTAATTATTATTATTTTATTGTAATTATTGCTTTACCTGTATTCGTTATTACTAGCTATTAATTAATTGTTAATAACTAATTAATCGTGCTTTTTTTTTATTGACATTTTTTTTACCCAACAAATCGTATTTACTTCATAACTTTTTTGCAATTATTAACAAAAAAAAAATATTTTTGTCCAAAAAATCTCATTTAATTACCTTTTTTCTTTTCAAATTTTATTAAGAAAATGTCCTCTTTTAGCCAAAATTTAAATTACCAACTTTTTACAATTATTGAACACTTTGTTTTTAAAGAACAATTAATTATCAATTTTTTGTAATTGATATATATTAACCATTAAACACCCACGTGGCGCGTGAAGATTGGCTGGTCCTGATGATGTGGAAATGCTTATTAACCATATATTGAGGGTTTTTTCTTTCCCCTGGTAAACCGACGGCAGCTTCTTCTTTCTTCTCTGTGTCTTTCAAAACATAGCAGCATCAATCGATGTCAAGAGCTTTTCTTTGCTTTTGTCCTCTGGACAAAACTCCATTTTTTTTTATGAGACCCAGAGGCCTCCCCTCAATTTCTGGCATTTGATTGTACTTGGAAGAGATTGTAATTTCTGGCATTTGATTGTAATCTCAATTGGAGGGTCCGGATTTTTCCTTCTGCAGAGTGGTTGCTTAGGATTTGATGGACGATGGGCTCGAGACAGAAAAGGGCTGGTAATCTTCTTCCTCTTCCACTCCCGGTTTCTCCCAGTTCTCCCTCTTGTTCTTCTTCATCTTCCTCCCTCCCTCGAGTAGTTAGGGCTAATTTTTTCTGTTTTCCTATCATTTTCCTGATATTTCTATTTCATTGGCTAAAGCAGCAAATCTTTTTTTTTTTCTTATCTCTGTCGTGTCCTTTTGTGAAACAGTAAGGATGGGGAAGGTCAATATTTCATCTCCACTATCTGATGTGAATTTCTAGAATGCAGATATATGGTACTTTTCTTCCCCTTTCTTTCCATGATTAATGTCTCTGTTTCATTTCTGTTTTATCATTGATTTTTTATTTTTAATCAGAAGAAAAACTTTTAATATGGTCTGAGATGATGAATAATTGATGATTAGCTAGCTTTTAGATATTTATTTACTTTCTTTTTTGTATCTATTTGGTGATTTATTGTTCCATTTTTTGTTTTTGTCTTGGATTTCTTCTGGAGTTCGGAGGAAAAATGGCCACTTGTGAAAAACAACTGGTGAGTGAAAATGTAAGTTTGCTGCATCAATCTGATTTAATTTTTCCCTCTTCCACGCTTGGTTTAGGATTTGATGGATGATTTTTTTTCCTTTTTTTTTTGTTCTTTTGGTGCTACTTTTCCAAGTATATTATTGGTTGTTGTTACAGGAAGGAATATGAAAACTTGAAGTTGACATCTCTAAGAAGTAGTTAAAGCTGGTAATATTTATTTGTGTTCTACTATTTATACTATAAACCATAGTCTTTTTCTATAAATGGTTTCTCTCACCTAATTTAGCCTATTTTTGTTTATTGAGGTTGTTGTCAGAGAAAGGATAAAGGTAAAAGTGATTGGAAGAATGAGCAAATTTCTTCCAGTGTTTTGTGTTTTGGGTATTATTGTGTTTGTCAAAGTAAATTAGATACGAGTATCTTTTTCTTCTGTATCTTCTTTTTTTCCCTTGGCTGGCAAACATAATGAATCTGTTATATAAACTACTTGGTATTCTTCGTAATGTCAAGATTTGGGAAGCTGTATGATGAAATCTTTATTTCATAGTCGATTTTTCTGGTTTTGTGGTTTTAACGTGCAAAGTGAAATCATTATTATGACTAACTTCCTTGAAGATGTTTTGATCAGTTCATGATTCATGAGATACATAGTTATGTGAATTACATAAATGGAGTTTCAAAAGCAAAATCCATTTAATCTACTATGAAGATACCATCTTTCCTCTTTTAAATTACTAAAAAAACTTGGCTCGATCTTTGACTGGAAAAATTATGTTCAGAAAATAGTATTCCTATGCGTCATACAATTGACATTTGATGTTGGACCTAATATTGCATTTTTTTTTTTAAAAAAAAAATTTCATCAGTGACATTATTTTTATTGATTGATTTCTGTTGGTAAGACTAGCTTTTATACTCTCTCAATAGATTTCTTCTCTTGTTTCTGTTATCGCCATTTTTTTTTTTGTGGATTCTTCTTTCTTCTAAGCAACTTTAAAGGTTCTTTTCTTTATATGAATATGTTATTATTGGGGTACATCTAATCCTAATCCTACTTCTGTAGCAGGAAATGACCATACATTGGGTTTTGTTACTGGTGGGTCTGCTCATGTGCAAATGCAACTTAGCACCAAAGAGTGTGAGAGTCTGGGATTAACTGGTCTGGCTCTCTGCTTAGACTGCAACACCTTTGCTGAGTATGTCAAGGACCAAGGTTGTACCTTTTTTATTATATGAATTTTGTTGATCCTCAGATATTTATGGTTTTTGGTGGATTTTACTTCTGGGTTTTGATGGGTTTTTTGAATTGATTACTTGCTGGTAAGTACATGGGTTGTAAAATGGTAATATTTGGGATTCTTGTTTCTGTACTATAGCTGATTGGTTGTCAAAATTAACGAATAGTGGGAGATAGATGCAATTCTTATTGCTTTTAGTTGATTTAAGGTCTGGGTTTTTTTTTGTTTGGATTTATGAATTGCTTATTTATATGTGAGATGTCAATGGTGATAATTTGGAAGGAGAACTTGAAAAAGGCTATGTTTTTATACAAATCAGATCGAGAGACTATGCTTATAACAGTAAATAAGTGTATTTTGACTTTTGTTGTTTTCACTATAATTTTTTGTGATTAAGTTTTGTCAAAATATGGATGGGTAAATAGTATTTTGGAAGATTTCTCTTTTTTCTTTTTGTGCCTCAGATAGCTTAAGGATAATCGCAGAAATCGAAATAAGATCCTCATTGGGATTCTTAAATTATCTCACGCAATTAGTGGCGTTAAATTGTAATCTGTAGAATTCCAAGTAACTAGCCTGGATTATGGTAATGGTTCAGTTTTGTTGCTCTTGAGGATGTTTTGCACCTGAGCTGACGATGATCAAGACATGCAAGAACAATAGTTCTACGATTCTACGATCATGATTTCCTAAGTTACGACTTGTAGTTCATTATATTTGATGATTAGGACCATACGGCATACGCATTAAATTGGAATATTCTATTGGCATCCTTTATTGTACCAAATGAAGTACTATCAAGACAAATTCTGAATGGAAATATGCCGTTTTTTTAAACCTATACCAGAGAACCCTTATTCTTCAACCCTTTTACATCCATTCTGGTGAATTTGAAAAATTTAAATAGCTGAAACTTGTGTAACAGAATTCATCAATTATATAATGACTTAGATTTGTTAAAGAATTTTGGATTGTAAGATTACAATAAACTTTTTGAACATTCTGCAATAATTTACTTAAGAGGAAGAAAATTGCTCATGTCGTCAAGAAATCCAGGATGTTTGACAAGATCTGCATTTAACATATCCAGTTTAGATGGCAACATGTATAGATTTCTGTATAATATTGGAATGATCTTTTTGCATTCCGCAAATAATATACTCAAGTAGAATATGATAATTTGGAAAACCCGATGTTTGGAAAGACTCCGGAGGCAGTTTAGATTTGTCAGTGCCTCTCAGAAATCTGCCCCTTGGCTTTACCTTAGGCTTAGAGATGGCTTGCTGGATTGGTCTATTTTTATCTATTGATTTTCATTGTGAATTTTTGTGTCCAAAGCTTGGTTTTGACTTTCTTGGTTTTGCATCTGCATCACCGCATGAAGCTGCAGCCGGGGAAAACTTCATTGACAGAGTTTTCATTATGGGTCTATGGAGACTGCATTTTGGAGATCTCTTTTGTATGTGGATAGGATTATATGTTATTTTAAAGTTTCTTTTATGCAAAAAAAAAAAAGAAAAAGAAAAAGAAAAAAAGATGTTAAATTTGTTGTATGTTGTTGACGTAAAACATATCTTGCATCTGAAATATTTTCATTGTGTAATTATTTGATTTGGTTTTTCAAAACTCATTTATTGTCGTAATAAGATTTTAGACACGAGATAATGGCTTGTTTCTCTTATAGGTTATATGTAGATCTTCAGTCCATATTGTGTTGAATCCTGTACCTCTTGCTATTATGTAGTCATCTTTATCGTGTTGAATCCTATTTCTCTTGCTATTATGTGGTCGTTTCTATATTTTACAATTAAATAGGCTTCTTATCCGACATATTTGAGTATTGCTCTCAAAAAGTTGAGCTTCCTCTTGAATTTGTTCATGAGTGGCACATTTTTTATGCACATCAAATCATGGCAAATACAGTTAGTCGATGCAAGATGACGTTACATGGTATATATTACTTTGAAATTTATGACATTGCCAATCCTATTCAATTAGTAGGTAAAGCAAAAAATGACTTTTCGTCACTTAGTCACTAAGTTAAAATTGTGGCTTATTTTCGCTGCTTAATAAAATTACAAAAACCTAATCCTAAAGATTTGTGCACTTTTATATAACTTTTCATGCTTGTTATCTAAATTTGAATTATTGGACACTTCTGGGCAAGTCTAAAAGTTACACCGCGCATAGCGCGGTGTTATCCTCCTAGTAGTAGTCTATGTGGGCTTACATTCAAGAGTTGTGAGAGCAATTCTTCAATTACCTCAATACCGTTCTTCCATCTCACATTCCAAGATCATATTAAGTAGTGCACCTATGTAAAAATACGTAATTAAAATACTTTAATCATCAACAAATTAAACACCTTCACTCCATTTAATTTCAGAAAGCATAAAATGTAAAATGTGTACACTAAAACAAGATGGACAAGCAGACAGATTTGATCAAATATGTTCAAGTACGCTGACCATGATACATACCATGAGAAAAAAGAGTTTCTTATGCACAAACAAAAATGTCACGTTGCGAAAGAGATTAGAAATAGTACAAAGTGCACTCATGATATATATTCTAGTGCGAGGTCATCCATTGTCTAACATAATAAGCATGAGAGAAACTATTTATCAATGATAATAACTTCTAAACTCGAGAAAAACCTTTTCAAGTCTCATTTAGATGTTTTAAATGTGAGAAGTAAATATGAAAGTGAAACTCACAAAAGCAAACTCAAGCTTCATGTAGGCATATTGGTTTTTAGTTTTGATTGAACTGTTCATGATTTTGACTCATATTACTATGGACTTCAATATAATTCCATAAATTTCTCCTTTTTGAAAGTAAATTCTAAAGATGACCATTTGAGATGTTTTAGTATAAGAAACTCTAATGCTTTAATAGCTAGAAAAGAACATAAAAAGTAAGACAAATAAGAACCCAGTTTTCCTTTTAGTAGGATATGATATTAATATAACATCCTTCCTTCCAACAAGAATGCATTACACCTTGGATTATTTATGATAGCTAACAAAATATGTAAATTGACTGAAATAATTTGTTAGACAGCCATTTTAGCCACAAATTTACCTATACCACCATTTCTCTGAAACATCACCATAATATTTTCATCAAAGATTGAATGAAAATTAGTTTGTGACAAAACAAGCTAATAAAAAGGAATCACAATCTACAATTTCAAGTTCAGTTTAAAAAAAATCAAAATCAATTTCACAATCATTTCATCAAACAACTAGTAGGCAACAACAAACTAGTTCTATGGTCAATCCCAGAAAGCAGTTCTATTATCAAAACTTCCAAATATTAGCTACTGCTAATGGCTGCAAGCTTGTCCAATATGATACCTCCTACAAGAAAACTCAAGTGTTTTTCCGAGTATATCCAATTTTATGGTATGAGACAAATCAAGCGACAATTCACTTCACCCCGTAGGAGATGAAACGATGGATTTCCCTGAAATCTTTTCTAAAGAGAGAATGGAGCATTAGATTTTAATAATAATGAATGAAAATGCAGATTAATCATTGGAAAATTCCTTTAGCGTCAAACGATATCAGTATTGGAAGATAAGGCGGAATTAAAAAAGACAGAGAACAAAGGACTGGAAGTATAAGAACTTCAGATGTTTTAAGAACTAACACTGGCTGATGAAGTTAGTGCTCCAAAATTTATTATCCCTCTTCTTTATTAACCGGATCAAAAAGACAAAACTACTGTGTTTTGTAGCTGCATTTTGACAAGAAGTGCGTATCCATTTTCTTCCCTTAGATATCTTCATCCTTATCGTCAATTGCAGCAAGCACACAAAAGAAGAAGAACATCTGCCCCTGGTCCGGACAGATGTCACTAAATAATGGTGACCTGAACCTACCAAATAGTTTAAACGAGCATTTGGGGAGTTGCTGATGTTGATCTGATGTTTATGTTGAGCTTCCATTCTAACAACCAAAGAAGGTAACTGACCTTGCACAAATCTACGATTGTAAGTTTTTTAAACTTGGTAGAGGCAAGGTACCTTTTAACACATTCATTCTTCTCATTCTTAATCTCCTACCCCAACTGCGCTTGAATTCCAACTTGTACAAATTTGGCTCTCTAAACAAATCAGTTCTCCGAGCAGCTTCCTTTTCTTGGACTTTGTCAAGATAGCAGAAAGTCAGCCTACCAAAAGGTTTATTTAGCTATACCAATTCTTCAATCTGATGACATTTGTCTTGATTCGCATGAATGAATCTTAATGTTTAAAGATAAGAAAAAACGTCCCATTTTAAGCAACATTTCACATATGAAAATGCAGAAAAATCAAAATGCCTTGCGATTATCAAATCACTGATCCGGAGGTTGTCATTGAGAGTAGTGCTCCTTGACTCTCAAAAACTCTAAAGTGTAAAGCTTGCAAACAGATCACGACAAAGTATTGATTGTAGTAATTGATTGATGAAGGTAAAGCAAATGTATTAACTTGCTAACTTATGTTGGCAACTGCTTAATATCTACCAAAATCAAAACAAAAAAAAGGCTCAAAAACTTGCCCGTCTACATGACAAACGAAGCATTAGTCTCAAAAAACAATAATATTAATAGATAACTTGCAAATGATTTAAATCCAAGGTAACAAATCTTGCAAATGCTCTGCATCAGATTTTCCAAAACTCAAAATAAATTGCGCAAGATCATGTGCAAGATCATACACTATACGATGTGTTATGTTGTAATACTCATTGACTTTTACATCTAGCAATAAGGAATGTGTTATGCTGTAATAGTCATTGCCTTTTACACCTAGCAATAAGGAACTCTTCCTCAAAATGTCAAAAAAATGTATAGCATCATGAGATTGAATACACACAACTGAAGACAGCATAATGGTTGGAATATACTGCACTGAAACATCCTTAAACATAGGCGTAGACAAGAATTTTCTGACAAAATATGATCAATCTCAAAGTAGGGAATCTGGTAATGCTTGCACCATTCAATGTTGGGCAGCTGCTCATGTTGCAACACCTTCCCTTTAGATCAGAAGATATGCATCGTATAGGGAGGCTTCGGATGGATTGGTAGGAGGTTTACAACTCAAGCTATTCAGATGTGCCAACTTATAATCCTTCAACAGATGAAAGCTTCTTGAAAGTCATATCCTCATTGCATACTATTAGATAATATAGCAAAGGTTCCTCAAAAGGTGCCATGCCTTTTCTGTTCAAAAAGTGCCTTGTGAGCAAAAAATATTGAGCTATCCTCAGGCATAAGTAAACAGCATTTTGAATTTCATGTTACAAATTTTATGCAAGCCATGCTGACTCCAAAATGCAGCAAATAAAAGAAAGTACAGCATAAAAACAATCAGTAAAATACAGTTATTAGAAGATAACAGCATAAATCAATGCTAGGTTTTTCAAGGAATGAAATGGTAGATTTTTTTTTATTGAGAAGTTTTTTTTTTTTTTTAAAAAAAGGACAAGTATTAAGAGTGTAACCAGCTAGCTAAATTAAGGTCACCCATTTCCAAGTTATTAAAATTGACTTTAGTTCCTTAGGTGGAACCTAGCATTCGACTGTTTTAGGTGCACAAGTTTGTCATGAATCAAATTAACATCAGGTTAATGACCCCAGAAACCTTTTGAACCTGCAATATGGCCACACTCAAACTTCATATCTAAGAGATCAAACTATCTAAACAATGTATCTGGACTTTGGATCTTGTTCAAATCACTCTAAGATGATAAGACAACCTGTTTCAGTAGGAGTAGTCCTTGCATTCTTGAAATATAAACTTAGAAATCCACAACAACATACAGAACAAATCATGAATAAAATGAAAAAGGATATGAACATTAAAGGATGGTAGTGGCATTCAGGTACCAAATCCTTCCCAAAATTTCTAAACAAATGCAAAATTTTGTAAGAATTCACTAAGTACTAATTGAAAACACTGAATTTGCAAGAAACTACAAATACTAATCTTGAAAAATGATGTTTTTTGAGAATTAAATGGCACTTTCTTGCTATTTCTTCCAACAAAGCTACGTAGTGGAGACAATGGACATTATTTATTTCACCGGGTATGGAGTGATTATATATTATGAAGTTACATATTGTCCTTATAGCTGATTTTCTAAGTTAATTTTTTATTGGTAGTTAGCAAACCAGAATACTCTAGGGTGGCTCATTTTCTTCGTTTTTATTTATTTATTGATCTCTTTATTTGTTTTTCTAATTTCAACATATTTACAAAAGGAACTTGAATTTTTCAGAGCAAAAGTAACTCACCAAGTATTTTTAATAACAGTTCCCTTACAAGGCATGGACACTCTCTTTCACCAGTGGATTGCCATCCACATGAACTGTATTGCCAAGAAGTTTGATCCTTCCTCTTAGAACACTTCCTGGTTGAATGATATGAATCAAGATTTCCATGTATACCCCAGCATTGAACTGGACCTCACCTACACAAAAATTTTTACCTTCTCCATAGTCCATTCGACTGTTTTAGGTGCACCAAGTTTGTCATGAATCAAATTGACATCAGGTTACTGACACTAGAAAACCTTTTGAACCTGCAATAGGGCCATACTCAAACTACATATCTAAGAGATCAAACTATCTAAACAACGTATCTGAACTTTGGATCTTGTTCAAATCACTGTAAGATGATAAGACAACCTATTTCAGTAGGAGTAGCCCTTGCATTCTCGAAATATAAACCTAGAAGTCCACAACAACATACAGAACAAATCATGAATAAAATGAAAAAGGATATGAACATTAGAGGATGGTTGTGGCATTCAGGTACCAAATCCTTCCCAAAATTTCTAAACAATTGCAATTTTGAAAACTGCAAAATTAATTTTGTAAGAATTCACTAAATAATTGAAAACACTGAATTTGCAAGAGACTACAAATACTAATCTTGACAAATGATGTTTTTGGATAACTAAATAGCATTTTCTTGCTATTTCTTCCAACAGAGCTGCTTAGTGGAGATAATGGGTATTATTTATTTCACCGGGTATGGAGTGGTTATATATTATGTAGTTACATATTTTCCTTATAGCTGATTTTCTAAGTTAGCTTTTTTATTTGTAATTAGCAAACCAGAATACTCTGGGGTGGCTCATTTTCTTCGTTTTTATTTATTCATTGATCTCTTTATTTGTTTTTCTAATTTCAGTGTGTTTACAAAAGGAATTTGATTTTTTTCAGAGCAAAAGTAACTCACCAAGTATTTTTAATAACAAGTTCCCTTACAAGGCATGGACACTCTCTTTCACCAGCAGATTGCATTCCACATGAACTGTATTGCCAAAAAGTTTGATCCTTCCTCTCAGAACACTTCATGGTTGAATGATATGAGCCAAGATTTCCATGTTATACCTCAGCATTGAATTGTACCTCTCCTACATAAAAATTTTGACCTTCTACATAGTCCATTTATCTAATTCAATTCAAAGAATCACAATTATCAAAGTCTCGTGAAAATGCAGGTTGCAGAACTTTATCAAATGAGCTAAGGAAGCGTATTAACCATGGCATCTCTTCCATCAACTTTGTAATAGCCTCGAACTAGAGTATTTGCCCCATCAGATTGAGACAACAGCTTATGCTGATACGCACAGCTTTTCATGTACAAGAAACTTCAAAGCATGTCATCAGACCATTCATCAGATTTTTAGCACTCAAACAACTGCATAAGAAAGCAGAGCTGCATTTGAGAATTCACAACATAAAAGAATGTAATCCCCCAATTAATTTTGTTTAACGGACACATATATTCATTAGAGAATAAGAACTAACTCTGCAACTAAGAGATCAACCACCTGAAAATATTCTGGTTGGCTAACCACAAATAAACAAGTAATATCAAGGACCAGCTACAAATCATTGCATACCGGGCGAAACAAAAAATAGAAAGTTGCCTATTATTACACCAACTAGCTCTAATTGGATGACATATCAAGCAATTGCTTCAAGGCTACTTGACAATTTAATCATCCGAAAAGCTTCACAATTAAATAGCATTGCTGCTTGAATTTGTCTTTGAAGTCATTTAAAGTTTTCTTGAATCATAAATTTTTCATCTGAAAGAGGAATGTTATCTAATGCATGAGAATCCCCATAGCCCATCCAAATACAAAAAGCGGTGCCTTGTTGGGGATGGTCTGAAGATGATTCTGAAAAGAAGTATTCCTGATGCTTGTGAATGTGATTATGCAGAATGGCAGATCATTACCCCTTTAAATTGTCTTTAAAGTCAGACAAAGCTTTCCTGACTCACAAATTTTTCATCAGAAAGAGGAGTGTTACCTCATACATGAGAATCCCCTTAGCCAACCCAAATAATCTTTGTTACAGCATGTTGGAGAGCTCGAAGCCTAAAGAAAACCTATTAGACCCTCAGCCCTCTATACTATTCCATGTGTTTTTAAAATGGTTCATTGTAGACTCTAAAACTAAACTTGGTATTGCCTATAACATAAGAAAAGACGCCATTAGAAGCTGCACAACAATTGAATATAGCAAAGAAAAAGCATTACAGGAATGCTGAACTGTACCTAAATTGTCTCCATACAAAGGAGGAGAAAGAGTTTCTTTTGGGAGTGCCCTAATGGATCTATTTGAAACTAGAAAGCCCTCACCTAGCAAACAAACCATCATTTTGCAAGTGCCAAGAATGTGTAGGCACTCATCTGATCACCATATAACAGGAAACCATGATAGCTGAAGACTTTTGTTCCAATATATCTGTTACCATATAAAGAAAAAAATCATAAATTGAAAAACAATTAAAAATAAAAGCAGACACACAAAATAAGATGGTTGTCAAATACTTTGCCGAACAACACAAAATTGTGATCACCTTTGTCCCAAGTAGTGAAAGATAGATTTTAGCATTTGTTCCTATAGCATAAATAGCAACAGATACAAAAGCTCCAACAGGTAACTGGTCAATGGCCTTGAGCTAATTTCAGAACAAATTAAGGAGCAAAGTATGTTCACAATCATTACTTTAAAGGTTAACAGTCTCCCAGTACTGCTACAATTTTTTTCAAAGAACATGACATAGGATCAAAAGCATGTTCACAATAATGCGTTAAGAACATAGTGTGTTAAGCTTACGTTATGAAGTGCATTCTTTGACAGGTAAAAAAAATCAGTATTTTTGAGTAAAAAAGCCCTTAGTTTCAGCTAATAAGTGGAATTCCTCAACTGAAAACTTTGCATCACTGATCACTGCTTGAAAATATTTTCACTTTGCTCATTGAACTACAAGTCTTTTACCAGAAAGACACTCAAGTATCTATAATTTTATGACTCACCAAGCTTCTCCACGGTCATTCTCATGCAGAGCATTCTTATGGCTTAAAAACTATCACTTTGCTGGCTGGCTACATTTATTGTCGGCCATAACAATCTGACAAACACATTGCTTATGTCAAAATTTCAAACCATAAACTCGATATGGCATACTCTTGGCTGAATACATAAATGCTAAAAGAAATGAGAAACTCAAAACCCTCTGCCTTTGAGTAATGCTATTATTTCTCTAAGTCTAATAACTTGTTTGAGAAAAAGGCAAGACTTTATTAGTCCAAAACTTTCACTACTGAATATAAGTCCAGAACTAAATTAACAATAAACTGAAATAATTAACAATGCAATTAAAAATACAGATAGAGATAAAAAAATTCAGTCTACAATGTATGTACTAAGTGCTTAAACAAAGTAGAAAGAAAATAAGATGAAAAAATTTGATAAAAAAAATACATGATTGGATATGCTGAAAAAACTAGCCTAATTCATAGCACCGAATTGGGAAAGTTTATGCTATCCATAAAAAAGTGCAAAAAACTAGTGGTGCGGTGGTTAGAAAAGATTTACCGCTGTCAATACTAGGAAAATATTTTAAGGAGAAAGAAATACAGATGGATAGAACAAGCAAAACAAATTGACAAATCTATGCAGTTGAGTACCGAATAGCTTTAATTTGGGAAACTGGCATTATTTATGAGCTTCAAATGGAGATTAGCCTTTGATTCGCTCCCCATCAATTACAATTTCGAGAATGGGAAATACCGAGTAGCTTTAATTGGGAAATACTGATTAACCTTTAAGTAGTGAATGTTGCCATAGCAGATTAACTAGTTAATAGTCCTGAGCTCCTCAAAGAAGGCTAGAGAGTTGATTTACCAGAACTATTTAAACCCAAAGTGTGTTATCCTAATCCCACTAAATATTGACCTTTTCAAGTCCAGTACTTATTAGCCTAACAATCTCCGAGTACTACTACAATTTGTTCAAAGAAAGTGAAAAGACGATCATGCTCAGAATCATGCTAAGTTCAGAATCTCCATGTAAACATAGGGAATTCAGTTTACTTCATGAAGTCCAAAAAACAAAAAAAAAAATCAGCATTTTGAGGAAAAATCTCTTACATTGGGAATTCAGTTTACTTCATGAAGTGCATTCTTTGACAGGGGGAAAAATCAGCATTTTGAGTAAAAACCTCTTGCTTTCAGCTAATAAGTGAAAATTCTCAACTGAATAGAAAGCTTTGCATCACTGCCACAAAACATTATCCTTTTGCTCATTATGTTACAAACTTTTACTAGAAAGACACCCATAAGTACCTATACGACTCACTGAGCTTGTCCACTGTCATTCTCGTATAAAACATTCTTAACACTTCAACATGATAGTGGTGTTAGTTAGACACTTCAGTTGTCAATCCTTACAATCTCATATGCATAGGGGTTGTGCAAGGATGAATATATAAATGCCAAAATAAAGGAGAAACCAGGAAGAATGATTGTTAAGCATTAATGGCGTGCCGAAACAGCTTGTGTAGCTAAATATTGTGACACAGAAGCTCACTCATACCAAATATACCACTTTTAGAACTTCCAAAGAAGCCAAGGCAGTCTCATAATTTGTTTGAGCAAAAGGCAAGATTTTACACTTTCACTGCTGCCTAAAAATTCAGATTTGAATTAACAATTAACTGAAATGATCAGTAATGAAATTAAGAAAAAAGATGGACATAAAAGATTGATACATAACGTGCACAGTGCTTAAGCAAAGTAGAAAGAAAATAAGACCGAACAAATTTGATCAAAAATACTTGTTGGATATGGTGAAAAATTAGCCTAATTGACCGCCCTGAGTTGGTTAAGTTTTTGTCACCCACTAAAAACTGCAAAATTTTGAAATTTTCCATAAATATGGCAATTGGAAATGGTTGTGGATAACCATATCAGACACGAAAATTATGTTTCGCAATAAATTCCAGGTATGGTCTCAAAAAATTGCTGTCATCAACCAACTTTCGAACACTGTTAATTCTTTAACAAGTTGAAACATACAATCAGTAAAAGGAAGTTAAAAGTGGTAGTAGATCACAAATGAATATCTAAAAAGTGGAAACTCAGAGAAAAAGACACACAAACACATTAACCGAGAGGTTAACTGGAAAGCAGAAATTCAGAGAGGACCAAGGAAAGATTTTGCAACAGTTATTCGGCAAAAGTTAGGCTGCACAATTAAAGATTCGATTGAGAAACAGTATCAATACATTACCACTGCCAATACTAAGAAAAGCTTTCAAGGGAAAAGAAATAAATATAGATGGATAGAAGAAGCAAAAATTAATTCACAAAACTGTGTAGTAGTACAGAGGAATACCTAGTAGCTTTTATTGGGGAAACTGACAGTATTTATGAACTCAAAATAGAAATGGAGATTAGCCTCTGATTTGCTGCCTATCAATGGGAATGTCGGAGATCTTCGACCACTCAGAATTGAGGTAGGTGCTGCTGCTGCTGCTGCTGCTTTCTGGATTTCATCTTTCCTTTAGAAGGGGACACATAATAATTTGCAGCTCTCTTAGTCTGGTGAGGCTTCTCATAGATTGGTGAGAGGGTAAATTCTCCAACTTTTCACAATTACAGAGATTGAGTTGTTCAAGTGAGGAAAGCTTTCCAAACCAATCAGGTAATGATTTTACTCCAAAATCATATAGTCCAAGAGTTGTTAGGGCAGAGAGGTGCTGAAGTTGCTCAGGCAGAGATTCCCAATGAGGCCATCCTCTCAGATGTAAATATGAAAGGGAGGGGAAGTAGGGGTGCAGTGGTGGGAGAGCATCAAAGAGGACTAGGAAGGAATGCAACTCTGCGGTGGTTTCTGAGAATGGTCCGATTTCTAAGTATCTCAAGCTTGTAAGAGAACAAAGCTTCCCATTGGGCAAGTCGGTTAATTTCTTACATTGTGATATGTCCAGGTAAGAGAGAGAAGGTGTTCGAGTTAAATCAATTGGAAAGGAGATAAGATTGGGGCAGCTGTATACATACAATTCCTCGAGAGGAAGAGGAGGACAAGTACCAAAGGAGGAGAAGCGTGAAGTAGTGGAACCCCACTCTGACTCAGATATTTGGGGGATGGACAAGTGGGTTAACCCATCGCAACGAGAAATGCTTAATTGTCGCAAGGCAGTGAGGTATCTGCGTCCCTTGGGAATTGAAATTGACTCGAGCGAGTGGCACTCAGTAATAGTTAATTTCTCTAGGGACTCGAGGCCAACCAAATGTTGAGGAGCATTATTGTCAGTACCAGTGTGCTCAAGCACTGATTGACAATTTGGTCCTTCTAAAGTTTGAGGAACATCAAACGGAAAATCCGAGAATTGGGCCAAATCACCACAATTGACTAACTTCAGATGTGCAAGATTTGGATTGTTTTGAAAAAACATATTTGGTAGCTTGGTAAGCCCATTCACACTCTTAACGGAAAGTCTAGTGAGAGTGCTGACTCCGCTACAAATACATGTCATTAATGCTGATCCATTTTGGGTGTTATCGATCTCCAATTCCTCGAGACGTGGAAAATGACTTGGAAAAGTGGCTAATTGAGGGCAATCAGTAATCCATACCGTATGAAGGACTGGAAACACCACCACTGTCCCATCGTGAACTGGTGCTTCCATCCATTCCCTCAAATTTGGTATTTTTTCTAGAATGAGAAGTTCAAGTGCTAGAAACAAGCTTAGGGGTCTTTGACTCCTACTGCCACTATGCATGCCAGATCCGCCATAAAAAGAAGGGCCTATACTTGTTACGCTGTCAAGTCCTTTCAATTGAAGAGATTTGAGCAAGGGCATGTTTCCAAGAGTTGGTAACTCTTTGCAGTTTTTGCAATCTTGCAATTCAAATTTCACCAATTTCCCAAGTTTTCCAATCCACGTTGAAAGTTTATCACCAAAAAATCTTTCAATAATCAAACCTTTCAAATTTTGGTGAGGATGCAAGCCTTCCAGCACTCGATTGTATTCACTATCATTATTTCTTGAATTATCTATTTCATTCCATAGTAATCTTAACTCATCAATGTTTGGCTTCCCAATCAGATTTGCAGACTCAGCTTCTTCCTTGCTTTTCACTAATTCAAGATTACGTAACTGAAGTCGTCCACTGAGATTCTTCAAATTCCTCAATTCTCCAATTTGTCGACCTCTTTCTTCACCAATATTGAAAAATGGCAAAGTTTGGAGAAATTGCAACTGTCCGATCTCAAAAGGCATGATATCACTTGATTTATGATAAGAGAAAAAGTCAAAGTGCCTCAAATTCACCAAATTCTTGAAATTCTTAGGAAACTTTGTCAGTGAGTCACAATATTTAACTCTTAATGTCTGCAAATTGTAAAGTTGACATAGAGACTCAGGCAATCTATTGATTGAAGCTCTTGACGAATCAAGATATCGCAAATGAGTTAGCTTGCCAATTGATTTAGGAAGCTCTTCGACACTCGATGCCCTTAAGTTCAAAACTCGCAACATAAAAAATGACATCTCCCTATCATTAAGTGATATGTTTCCCTGCAAAAACAATGTTGTAATACATTTGAAACTTTTAGTGGAAGGAAATGTCATTTCTTCTTGTATTCTCTCCAATGCAAGATACCGAATAGAAGACGTTTCCATATCAACACTACCAGACTCTGTCAACCTTAAAGTTTTGGAATTGGAAATGTATTGCACCATATCATGCACAAGATCATGCATTTTGCAATTCAAAACATTCCCATAATCATCCTTCCCTGCCTCTTGAAATATGTTACTATCCAACAAAATGGTAAAATACCTGTTACCAACTTCCTCCATATGCATATCGTCTGTTGGATTTGAATGAAGAAATCCTTCTGCTGCCCAAAGTTGGATTAATTGATTCCTTTCCATTTGAAAATCCTTGGGAAAAATTGAACAATATGCAAAACACTTTTTAAGAGAAGGATGTGAAAGATGATCAAAGCTCAACTTCAAAATTTCATTAACGTTACTATTTTCACCTCCACCTAAAATTTGAAGCCCACTCTCTAATTTTTGCCATTCATCTGGTTCCTTGTTGCGCAGCATACCACCGAGAACACTTGTAGCCAATGGTAAGCCTCTGCATCTTTGCACAATCTTCAACCCTATATCTTTCAACCCATCGGGCACTTCCCCAGCACCAAATGCATTTTCTTTGAGAATGTGCCAACATTGATCATCTGATAATTGTTTCAAGGAATAACCCTGAGGAAAAGAAATTCTGGTGATGTCTACCACCTGTTGCTCACGAGTGGTCACAAGAATCCAACTCCCCATGGCTTGGCTAGTACCTTTCAGAGACCCAAGAAAATCATTCCATAGCATGGACTCCTTATTCCACACATCATCCAAGACCAATAGGTATTTTTTACCGTCCAATAATGCCTTAAGCTGCTTGACTCTGGCTTCCCTATTCTTAGCTTCAGGCTCTTGACCTTGCAGTGATTGTAGAATCATTCCAAATAGCCCATTGGCAATGAAATCCTGCGAAACACACACCCATATTCTCTTGTCAAAATGTTTTTCAATCTTTCTATCATTGAAAACTTTTCGAGCCAAGGTGGTCTTCCCAATCCCGCCCATCCCTACTATAGGGAGAACGGAGATAGTTTCATTATTATTTGTGGCAGTCAATTGTGTTACTATTGCTGAGACATCATTATCTCTTCCAACAAAACTCGCATCAACAGTAACAGAGTCAGTCTCTCTGTTCTTTATAAATGCTCCTCCGCTAGGAGGAGAAAGAGCAGGTGCATCTCTAGCTCCATTCTGTGACTGGAGGAGGCCAAGTTTCGTTGCTTGTTCATGGATACTTTTCAAATCCATATTGATTTTTTGAATCTTGCAGGCCATTTTGCAACGAAATGCAATGGGATTGGAGAGTGAGAAGAACAAGCATACCTCCCTCTTCATTTGGTTTTGAATCTCAACTTCGCGCCGGATCATCTCATAGGTGAAGTCATCCAGCACATTTTCAGCATCGAAAGCCACACGTTCAAGGTTCTCCAGCCATCGCTTCACGATCTCTTTAGTCACCTGCTCTTTCTCTGCGTCACGGAGGACAGCCTGGATCAGTGTCAACGTATCCTTCAGTTTCTCCAAATCTTTCTTGAAGCCAACAAACTGGCCAATTTGTTCGGAAGCCAAATTTATTGCCTTCTCCACTAGAACTTGTACTGCGGATCCGAGCAGTGCATCCGCCATCAGGTCAGGTCGATATCTGGGAGAAAGAAAGAATTTGATAGGTTTGAGAGTGTGGAATGGAACCGGGCAACTTGCAACTTTGAATGTGAGAGGAAGAGTAGAATGTAGCAGTAGATGAAACTGAAGTCTACTAATTGGTGGTGGTTTTTAAGCTTTTGAATACTCTTATTAGAATTGCAGCAGTAAAAGGAAAATGAAAAGGAAGAAAAGGTTCCCGACAAGCAGACATGTGATAGACAGGAAAGGCAATGAATTCTTTACTTTTCTAGCCATCACGTTACTGTGCATTAACAGCCCACCATTACTAGGAGATCCAATCCAAAGAAACTGTAAGAAAATTGCTAACAAATAGTTTTGTAAAGCAGAAGACATTTGAAACTGTAACCACAAATAGATCAAAAGCTAATGTACCAACTTTATTCATCCCGAAGGAGCACGCCGCAAAAGGAATAGATAAAAGTGATTTTGTATGTGGAACCACCAACTTTATTCAGCATTAAATCAAATGCAATAAACTGGAAAAAGGGTGACATTGGTTCAATAATAATAAGAAGGTTTTATATCCTCGTGAGCAAAAATCATCATAATTAGTACCGTTATAGTAGTAGTGGAAATATATTTCAAACAATAGATGTGTTTGGATAGGAGAATATTTGGAATAACACTGTAGTACTTTTATGATATGACGTATATAAGATAAAAAGATGGTTAAAAATTGTGTTTATAATACAATTTCAATAATATTTGAATTTTTTTGGCAAAATAGCAATTACAACTTTAATTGTTAAGCATAATGCAAAAGAAATTTTCTGGTATCCTATTACTATGAGTTGAATCTTCTTAGACTACACTGTAATGAATTCGGGGGGAGAAAAAAATTTCTTATTCTGCTTGAATTGGTCTTCACCTGTGGTTACAGACTTACAGTACAATATCTCACACTCTACCCACTCTTGTTCGATTAAGCATCAAGTGATGGATTTTATCTAATCTAAGTATACAAAAAGCACAATCAAGTATCTTGTAAACAACTAATACATGTGAAATTTTAGATTTCACTCATTAGCAATTGTGGAAATTCATAAGACAAAAATGGAATTCCTTCATATATCCCAAGTCAATGTACCCGTAATATGAAGGAACTATCAATGAAAGAGAAGATTATTACCTGGTCTTGGAGCAAAAAGATGGTCTCTTTTTTCTCTCTAGCAGTGTCAGAGGCTGTTGTGAAGAGAAGGAAGAGTGAGATGAATTTTTGATTGAGTGGGCTTCATACGGAAGCTAGAAATCAGGGGGAATTTAATTTTTCCCTATGAACCTTTTAAGGGTAAAGCTGTCATATTGTAAAAGTAAACTGTAAAAAGTTTTCTTCTTTTCCTACCATTTCAGCCGAATTTTGGGTGGAAAATACTTCTAAAATTCATAGTCAGCAGATTTTTGGTACTGCTTTGGAAGTTCCTTTTCTTTGAACTTCACTTCAGAAGTAATAGAATTTCCCAAAAGAAGTTATGGCTAGATGGAGTTCACAATGCTTTAGAAAAGTGTACTAGTTCATTTAGCTTCCTAAAGCTAGAAAATCCAGATGACAGAGATAATAAATAATATGTACCAATTAATTCCCAAATATTACTTTTTTTTAGAAGATTAAAATCATCTTACTGCTGAGTAAAAAATCAGATGCCAAATATTCGGGCAAAAGCTAGTAGGACGGTTTCTTAAACAAAAGCCAATATAGGATGACTTTCAATGTTCTTGAATGTCTACAAAGGATCAATGTGTGAATTGTGAATTGACCATCGAAGGTGGAAATTTTTTTTTTTTTTTGACAGTAAACATCTAAGGTGGAATTCAATTCCATCGAGAAAAGGAAAAAGAAAAATAAAAAAAAGGGAAGCTAGAGTTCAATTTCTCAGCATCTAACTCTGAAAAACAACAGCTTGCATTTACTAATTGGGCTGGCATTGAAAAATTACAGTTTGCATTTACACTCATTTGTTATTTGCTAACTTTTTCTACTTTCTTCTTCACGAGTAGACAGACTTGCACGAAGAAAACAACTAAGCAGAGTCTGAAACGCATAAAAGCTTGACTGAATCCATGCGCTCAAGAATTGTGAAGCTTTGGATAGTGTATTATTTGAAATATTATTTGAAATAATTACTGTAGTACTTTTGTGATGTGAAGTATGTGAGATAAAAAGATGGTTGAAAATATAAAAATATGAATTGAAAAATGTGTACATGATGCAAACAAAATATTATTTAGGATAATTTTCCTATCCAAATAAACCCAATAATGAACTTAGTGAGCCATTTCAATAATTCACTTTGGATGGGATTGAAAAGAAACTTACAACCATAGTCATCCATGGCAGACAGCTAGACGCATTTTGTTAGATGCATTTTAAATTGGGATAGAGGTTTCTGACAGTCTCACTCATCTCCCTTGAACTTTGCAAAATATCAGATACCTCCCTTGTCAGATTATTGGGCCCTATTTGTGATATCATTGATGATGAATTGACAGATATACCTTCATAACTTATGATATATTTTGAAGCTATTTTGACATAATTAGTTAAATGAGTAAAAGAGATATAACTTTTGATATAACTTATGATATATCTTCTATTCCACTTTATACTTTTTATTCGTAGCACAATCAACAATGAAGAGTTTAGCACTAGTGTTACCTTTATCTAAAGTATGTATTTCATGTTTTTTTTTTGTAAGACAATTATCTAGTGTAACTCATTACTTATATTTGAGTAAATTTGGTTTTCAAAAATTCAATGATGTAAATTGTATATTACATCATCTCATAAAGGGATGCGACACAATTTGGGTTATTGAATTTTTTGAAAATCGAATCTACCTAAGTTCTGGTGTTCAAACGAAGCTTGTTGAATAAATTCGACTAATTATAGTGTGAATTAATTTTTTTTTTAAAAAAATCACAACTAAAGTATCTAGCACTAAATGAAATGAATACTTCATTTCATTTTCCACAGAGAAAATCGCAAAAAGAGTTATTAAACTATTGAGAAATTGGTTATTTGATCGTTACCCTATTTATTTAACTGCAATTGCCATTCACTCAATTAACCAAATAGTGAAAAAAATTTTGTGACTTAACTAGTAAAAATTTATACTTTTAATCACTCAAATAATATTTTTTTATGACTTAACTAATAAAAATTCATACTTTTAATCACTCAAATTATAAAACTATACATTTTTTTTTATATCACGAGAAGTATGTTTCAATTAATTGAATGATCATATTAGCTAAATAAATGTCTAATAGCTAGAACAAAAAAATATAAATAAAATTGTAACATTGCTTGAAGAAGCCATCTGCATTTATCTCTATCTGGTTCAACTTATTATTTCTTTTTTTTGGCTTTTGCTTTAGCTCAAGTTGTGGATAAGCAAAAAGGGCATATGTGGAACACAAATATCATCTCACTCCTCAAAATATTTTTTTAATACTCATTTTTCTGACATGGGCTGATCTTGTTACTCCAACTATAAGTTCAGGGGAGGTATCTGATATTTTGCAAAGTGCAGGGGAGGTGAGTGAGACTGTCAGAAACTTCAGGAGAGGTTTCTGAAATTATCCCTTTTAAATTTAAAAACTGTGTCTATGCCCTAAAGTCTAAAGCAATAATTCACTCTGGACCAGTTCAATAATGCACTCTTGGTGGGATTGAAAAAGATGCTGGAAGTGCATATGAACTTTCACCTTTAGGCTCTGGGTCGATGCATGCAATCAGTTGTGACTTGTGAGTCAATATGGTTAAATGGTTTCTGGTGGTGTTGGCACGAAAAATCCCGCGCAAAGAGCGGAAGCAATTTTTACATATATAAAATTATGTGAAAAGAGGAGAAGAATAAATATTCAATAATTTATTTTACTCAAAATTTAATAGTAATAAATACTAAGTCGTACCCTTTCGCTCACAATAATTCACAAATCTCAATTATAAGATTTTCTTTCATGTCTAATCTTTAGATTCAAATCAACTATCCACTTCAATTAATAATCTACTAGAGTGGTAGTATTTATAGACTCTAAAACAAATATAATTGTGAACCAAAACTTATTTGGAAACTGATTTGAGATTTCCTAATCTAATATGGAAACTAAACAAATAAGATACCAAAAAGAATTAGGGAACTAAAATACTAAAATAATTTGGTTTAATTTCCTTCATGTGATCACAATTTCCTCTTACAGAGAAAAGATCAAAAGTTCTAGTAGTTTGATTTGTTAGAGATTTGTCATTTTTTTTTATAGTGAAAATTACAAACGGTCACATGCTATTCAACCGCTATTTCACACTTTTTATGGACATTCGTGGACATCAAGAAGCAGCACTTAACCTGTTGTTGGATTGAAAGTGTCGAAACCATTTCAGAAACTTTTTGGCGGATGGATCCACCATCACAATTGCGGATCTGGTCGTGGATCCACTATGCTAAAAGAGCCTCAGCGTCTCGGACGGATCACTCTTGCTTGGAACCAAATTTGTTTTGCACATTGTGACCACAGAATAGAGAGCTCCTTGGACTCAATCCGTTGCTAGAATTCAGCTCACCAAGCCTAGATCCATAGCCAGATCTGGATCCACAGAGGGATCCTCAACCTCAAGGATCCACTCACGGATTTTGTGTCTAGTTTTGCCCAAAGGTTCTGAATTTCTTTGTTCCAACAAGCCATGTTTCTATTTCATTTTACAAACTATTCCAACAATACATATGTTCTTGTGTGGTTAAAATTACAAAACTCAAACTCATTTAACGCAGTCATTCATGGCGGATGCATCTGACAGAGGCACCCTTTTTTCTTGTGTTTTTAGGCTAATCTGACTAACTACTAACTTTGTCCCTCACTTTCAATGAGCAGAGTTTTAGAAAGAAAGAAAGGATTATACACACCTTCTGAAAAATCTTTTATTGTGATGCAAGACATGCAATTTCGGTGCATTAAAAATTCTTAGCGAAACAAGTTAGATACTAAAATTACATGTTTAGAAACTGAACTGAACAATGTAGATATTAACATATGTAGATGCACTGTCCATCTGTTTAACCTGCTGCAAACTTTTAAAATTTTGCTGTGTCTCAACAAAGTTCAAATAGCCAAATTTTGGCCTGGGATTGTTTCTTAGAAGAAAGCCATCCTCAGGAAATGCATATGA